TCATTTAAATGGAAATTTAGGGTTTCATTTTATTGATATAGAAGTCCCTAGGGCACTCAACTTCTGTTAAGCTTTTATTAAAGGCACATTTTAGTGTCTACACAACCAAAAATGATACATGAATTGTTGTAGAACTGCAAAGCTTTGTCAATGGGGTACTTAATTGACTCCAAACTAAAAGTGAGAGTAAAGTAAGACAGTTCCCAATCCCTCCACTCTTTGAAGCCCCTTCCTTGGCGCTGCACCTCCTCAATCCCTTGCATAGACCAACATACCGCACCCAATGCTGTAAAAGAAACATCCTTGAGTGGACAGGGTCAAGTGTCGATGTCTGATTACAATGCGCCCTCCCAGTTCCACTGTATATGTGTTCTCGCAAAGCAGGTAAACTGATTCTAGAAAGAGGACTTTGGCCGGTTACTAAGCGTGATCGTGGCACGCACACGATTTTTACTGGCCTAAGTTGGACATCATTTAATTAAAATAATTTCGTGAGAAAAAGCTATCACTTCATTTAGTTCTTACCGTCTCCCTCTTATATCACATCCGCCCCGCCACACCTGCCTCGATTTTCTCCAGCTGGCAGGGCGGTGAAAGAGGCGTCGCGTGTTCACTCCTTTGGTACCTTTGAATGGGAGCAGTAGGCGGCTTAGCAATTTAGTTTTCCCAAAATTTTGGCGACTATTCAGCCGATAATGGCAATCCTGAAGAATACGGAACTGATGCAGTTGCCGAAGGTGGACATCATTCACAAATATTTCATTGAAAATCTTCACAAATTCTCCCACTCTTAAGAGATGTATTTCTTTTACTTCTCTAAAATCTATCAACTAGAAGTTGTAAAGGCATATTTGCTCTTCTAAGGTGAGGTTTACCTTCCACTCTCACGAATGTGGCACGCCAAGACTTCTCAGAGGCTAAAATGAGATGTGTGAATTGAATAGCCCATGCATTGTTCATCTGAGGAAGGATTTTGGGGAAAAGGCAGAGCCTTATTATCCAGAGATGTAAATGAGTCTTGGTGGTGAAAATGCGAAATGGC